CAGCATCTCTTATTTTCCAATTAATTAGAAGAAAATCTGAGATCGACCCTCAATCAAATTCAGGATCTAAACCAGTAAGACCATATAACTTAATAATATTATCATGTTAAATCAATATTATATTTATACATTTAATGTACAATACAGATAATTAAAGGTAAAGTCCACTTTAAAAATGTCAAATTCGAGTATCCTTCTAGACCAAATGTATGTGTTTTGCGAGGCCTTAATTTAATAGCTGAACCTGGCAAGACATTGGCAATAGTTGGTGAATCTGGATGTGGCAAAAGCACTATACTATGTTTACTTGAACGGTTCTATAATCCATCAAAAGGAGTGATTGTACGTGTTTATATTGCATATTATAATTTTTATGCTTTATATTATTTATACTATATTATTACAATATTAAAATAGAATGTCATTCACCAATATTTGTCAAGTATAATTTTTGTTTAGGAAGTTGATAATCATGATATACGAGCAATGAATTTATGTCATTTAAGACAAAATATTGGAATTGTTACTCAAGAGCCCATATTGTTTAACAGTTCCATAAAAGATAATATTGCATATGGTGTAGCTAACAGAGAGGTTTCCATGGATGAAATAATTGATGCAGCTAAAAAAGCAAATATTCATAATTTCATTACAACTCTAGCTCAAGTAAATCATAAACAATATTTTTAAGTAATTATTTTTAAATATTAAATTTAATTCCTATTTTAGAAGTATGATACATTAGCTGGAGATCAAGGAAGTCAGCTATCTGAAGGACAAAAACAACGAGTAGCCATTGCACGTGCCTTAATAAGAAATCCTAAAATACTTTTGTTAGATGAGACTACCACAGCATTGGATACTGAAAGTGAATTAGTAAGTAGATCATATGAAGTAAGCTGTAAGAATATTAATTACTATATTTCTATCACAATTTAATGTTTTAAGATTATGCATGGAACATTGAAGGCAGCTTGTAAAGGACGCACTTGCATTGTTATTGCTCATCGTCTTTCTACAATTAAATTAGCTGATTCTATTGTTGTAGTTCACAAGGGTAAAATTGTTGAGCAAGGTAATCATGATGAACTAAAAGCTAAAAAAAAGTATTATTATGAGTTAATTACACGCCAAGAAGAATCATTTAATTAAATTCAGCTCTAAAAACATTATATATATTAATTAATATGATCTAAGAAATATATAAAGTATTTATTTTTAACTGGTATTGTTTTAAAGTTGTTATTATTAAAATATAATGTGTGTTATAAATTATAATAGTGTTCCAACTTAATTTAGGTCTTCAAAAGATTCTAAATAAAATATTTTCAAAATTACTTAAAGCTTTTCAGTTAAAAAWATATTTCAAAATTGAAATGTATTGTGGTAAATTGCTCAAATAAATCAACATTTGGTATAGCTAGAAATCATATATGCCAGTCATGCTAATAAAGGTAGTTGGCTTTGACCTTTAACAGGTGTGTGATCATAAAATTATACATAAAAATACTTATGCACAAACCAACACCCTTTAATAAAATAATTAAATTTTTTTGAATAAAAGGATGTTATCTCTGAAGTTAATTTTATTTCAATAATTATTATTGAATAAAATACCGAATTAAATGAAAATCTTAATACATTATTCTATTGATCTATCCATATAATAGATTATATTATATACTAAAATAATTCTAAATTATAATAACAACACTTCATCTTCAGATAAATAATAATATAAATATCTCATACCTAGTAATTAAGTATTTCCAATTTCCAAATGTTGATACCAAAAATATATGAAAGAAGAGTCACCCATATGAAGTAGTTAGAAAGTACAATGCTGAAAGCTATGCAGCTGTACAGTTCATGAAATTTTGTACTAAATACAAATTTCAATCGACGAGTTGATCAAAATAACTATTAAAGTATACTAGTTTAAGCTAAGTTGCTCATCTAAACTGACTACTAAATGAGTAATTATTAAGTATGAAATTCTTCATTAACTCAAAGATTAAACTACTCATCAACTCATAAAATAATGTTTAACTTTTTTAAGAGGGACAGTGATAAATTAATAACAATAATATATTCACCAAATATTGTGTGATTATATTTTTTTTTTAAATTTATTTTATTTACATAGGTATTTAGCTATTTTTAGATTCTGAGTGGAGTGTTTGTGGAGTTTTGTTTGTTTGTGGAGTGATGAATGTATTGATTTTACAGTGAGTTTTTTTTTTGTTTGTGTACTGTACACAATAACTGATAAGTTGTCGAAATAATGCTTCGATTTTCAACTTCAGTAATAGCTTTTCCGGTTAGAAAGTGAAACTAGTTAGTGCATTGTAAATGTCGAATTTTGAAATTCTTATTAGTTTTCAAAAGCACCGGGAAAAACCAAAAAAAAAAATAAGGAAATTTTTGCGCAAAATCAATTTTTGAGAATATTAATTTTAGATACTAGTGTAACTCTGAAACAAATTACTGTAGACACATAAAATGTTCACTTAATGTTTATACTGGAATTTTCAATACTTGATAAAATTTTGAAAACATTTCAAGTCATTTATAGAAGTTTGAATTTTTCAATCTCTTTAGTTATTTTTTTATAAAAGACAATAAAATTGTATTAGTTGGGTAAAAAAGCTTCAAAATTTAATACAAGGCTCCTTATATATTATTACAATGGTAGTTAAAAAATATTAAAAATACATAGTCACAATATTTTTTAATAAGCATTGAAATCTTGAATTTTGACAAAAAGTAAGATTCATAAAAATTTGCTTTTATTTTGAATTAAAAATTCATAAAAATTTATCTTTTTAAATCTAACATAATTTTATACGAGCATATCGATCTATATTTTGGGAGTGTTTTTCTATGTTGGAAAAGTTTAGTTTCTATTCTGTTGGTCTAAGAGTTTGTACATGGAACAACCATAGACCATACATAATAAAGTTTTAAAAAATTATTGACAACCAAAAGCAAAGAACAAACCTAAAAAGTATAGTCTGTAACAGGGCTTGGAACCTTTATGATTTTTTCGGTTTCGGTTCCAATTAGGTTCTTTAAAAAAATAAAAATTCAGTACCGGTTTCGGTTCCGTTCTTAAAATTACAGAATTAAGGTTTTGGTTCTGGTACCGGTTAATACCGGTATTAAGGGGTTAATTTTTTTTTCAAAAAGTAAAAAAAAACCAAGTATAAACTTAATTCATATACCCATAGGCGCAAACTAGGGGGAGGGGGCTGCAGCTCCCCCAAAATCCTATGACATACAATTTTAAAATGCTATATTGCAATGGTCAGCTTGCCTTTAATATATTCAGCCCCCCAAGTCAAAAGTTGAAATTGTGCCTACGCATTTACCTATAATTATCGAAAATGATAAAATCAAATTATAGTAGGCTTATT